TTTTTTTTTTTTTTTTCCCTCTTTGCAGAGAGGAGGCTCCGAGGATCCCCTGCTGACTCCAGGCAGAGGCAGGCAGAGGCACAAGGCAGCTCCTGAAGGCACCGGGAGCCCCTCTCCCCAGCCAGCTCCGGAGCCATGAGCAGCGCCGTGCTCCTCGCCCACCTCCCGGACCCCAGCAGCAGCTTCAGGGAAGACGCCCCCCGACCCCCTGTCCCGGGGGAGGAAGGAGAAGCACCATGCCCGCAACTCGCCAGCTCGTTCCTCGCCAAAAGCCAAAGCTTCAAGGCCATGCCGGTGCCTCCTGCCCCGCGGAGGAACGAGAACGGGCTCGGGGAGCCCGAGGGCAGCGCGTCCCCGGACTCCCCCCTGGCCAGATGGACCAAATCCTTGCATTCCCTCTTGGGAGATCAAGATGGTGCCTATCTTTTTCGGACCTTTCTGGAAAGGGAAAAATGTGTGGATACCTTAGACTTTTGGTTTGCCTGCAATGGCTTCAGGCAGATGGACCTTAAGGATACCAAAACTTTGCGAGTAGCCAAAGCTATTTACAAAAGGTACATCGAGAACAACAGCATCGTCTCCAAGCAGCTCAAACCTGCTACCAAGACCTACATAAGGGACAGCATCAAGAAGCAGCAGATAGATTCCATCATGTTTGATCAGGCACAGACTGAGATTCAGACTGTGATGGAGGAAAATGCTTACCAGATGTTTTTAACTTCTGATATATACCTCGAATATGTACGGAGTGGAGGAGAGAATCCCGCTTACATCAACAGCAACGGACTGGGGAGCTTAAAAGTTGTCTGTGGCTATCTCCCGACCTTGAATGAAGAAGAGGAATGGAGCTGTGCAGACTTCAAAAACAAAATCTTGCCTTCGGTAGTTGGACTATCCAGCAAGACGTTGAGGGTTACAGCGAATGTCAGAGCCACGGAAACGATCGAGAACGGATACAGGTAAGGGAACCCCTGGAAATTGTGCTTTGTTTTAACTTTAGGGACTTTGAGAGTGCTTTTCAGAAGGCTGTTGGGGTGGGAATGGAGGGGAGGCAGGGCTTCCTGAAGGGCTGGGAGCACAGCTGCTTCCCCACACCTCCAGACACTGGAATTTGTGGGGTGTTGTCTGAGTGTGGGGGTTTTTCCCCCTCTACAGAGGAAAACAAGATCCTGTGCTCTGAAGCCCTATTGGCTCTTTCAGTTCTTTTATAGATCAAAAACTTCATAGCAACTATGTCCTCCGGACATGCGTTAATTATTGGTTCAACTTTCAAACCTATTAAGAGCAGTAGTGGAGTGGATCACAGAGACACATGAATAATGTAACCTACCAGTTCCCCAACTCCACCATCAACCGGTGTTTAACGATGTTGGTTATGTGGGAAGCAATTGTGCGGTCGTGGAGGAGGAAATGTGTGCACTGACTGCATCAAACTCTGCAACTTGGGCAGAATCTGCTTTTATTTTGACTCTGTGTGTGTGTGTGATGTGCAACTTCTCCATGGCGTGGGGTGTCTGTGTCATGTCAGAGCCATCTCGGGTGGCTTTGAGCCAGTGCATACAGGAGGATACCTGAAATTTGAGTGTTTAAGGTGGCAGAGGCATTCCAGGTGTGCTGTAACAGATCTTTGGTCGGTGTTTGGTGCTCTCACGTTGGCCGTGAGCTCAGGGTTAGGCTGCTGAAGGGGTGGCTGTCCCCAGGGGGATGTGGGGACGCTGTGTGGTGACAGGCTGTCCTTGTGCCCTGCTCCTGGGCTGCATCTGCATTGCCAGAGCCTTCTCTTTTGTTGGAATTGTTGATGGCACAGCTGTACGAGGGTGAGGAAAGCAAGAGCCATCTCCAAGTGCAGGGGGGGATGGGAAAGAAGAGACTCTGATGAGCAAATGATGAGTTGTATAATCCTCTGAAAATGTATTCTTTCCTCTCCCCACCCTTGCCATAAATGTGGATTGTTGAATCAGGGCTGAGAGGAGAGGGCTCTGCTGCAGATGTGCGCTCTCCTCCGCCGGCCCGGCAGCCTGGGGGTTGGTATGGTGAGTGTTTGACATCTCGTTTACAGGAATTTTGAGAGTGTGGCTGTGATTCATGGACATCAAAGGGCACCAGCCTTCTCCCGGGGAGGCTTTGCTGGAGCGCTGCTCTGCTGCCCCCGGAGAGCTTCCAGCTGTGCCGGCCTTGCCGGGGCCGTGGGGCGCTGGCAGGGTCCCCCCTGCCCCGGAGGGGGCTCCGGAGCCTCTTTGGGGTCTCCTGTGCCCGAGGCTGTCCTGCCAGCGGGGCGGGATGGAGGTGCTGGCTGTGGGGAGGGCAGGGATGCTCTGGGCATGAGGACAGCAGGGATGCTCTGGGCATGGGGACAGCAGGGATGCTCTGCATCCCGGACCCCTCCTGCCTGGGGGCTGCGGGGGGGCAGTGCTGGCAGCTGCTCTGTGCAGGGCTTGGGCTTTGGGATGCTCATCTCGTGCCTGAGCCTTTCTGCCTGAGCATCTGCTGTTCTCCAGAACTTGGTTTGAACTGCTGCCCTTCGCTGGCTTTCCAGGAGGGGGATGTTTGATGCTTTTATCTCTGAGCCTTTGTTGGGATTCAGGGCTGGAAGGGCTTGGCTGTATGTTCTACCAGAGCTGCAGGCCCTGCTAAACCCACATGTGCCTTGTCCAGGAGAGCTCTTGCAGTGCCGTGGCTGCTTGCCTGATTAGTGCTGGGCTTTTTTTCCTTTCCTTTCCCCCCCCCCCCCCACTCTTTTCTTTTTTGTCCAGGGATTAATGCAGCTTGCTCCTCACATGTCAGATCTACCCTCCTAGGACATTAGGTAGTGCGTTTTGCTTTGATCACCTTCTGTTGAATTTCCAGGAGCTTTTGCTCTCCACGGGGCCAGGAGATCTCAATGCAGAGAGAGGGGAGGTCAAGCTGAGATGCTGCTCAGTTCCTCCCATTTGTGAAGCCACTTGTGCGTGCATGTGCTGGGAGCTGATGAGCATATGGATGGGTTATCTCTCATCACTCAGCATTTAGGATCGCGGCTAGGATTGGAGCTGAAGCTCGCACAAAGTCTTTCCTGGTGAGTGGCCAAACCACACCTCCCTCATGTGTGTGTTGGAATTAAGGAATTTCTGCTCAGCATGCTCTGGTTTTGAAGGGCTGTGCAGGCTCTGGCCATTCACTCCGGTGGGTTTCAATGTGATTATCCCAGCTGAGCCCACCTGACTGGGCAGCCCAGCAGTGCCAGGCCAGCCTGGTGTTTGCAGGGGAGACCACCTGGAAATCCCAGGGCAGGAACCACGGCCAAACCCACAGCAAACGGGAGACAGCAGGAAGCAGACAAGCTGAGAGACTTTGTTTGGCCCCAGTGCTGGTGATGGACAGGAACAGGAGAAGTCAAGTGAAAACACAGGGTTTGCACCTGGCTGCGGAGCAGGCGCTTGCAAACTGCTGCCTGTGTGTGTGGAGCCCTGACAGAGGGAATATTTTGAAAGCAGGACCTCCCTCTTGTCCTGCCAGGCGACTCCCCTCCCCTCTGGGCTGTGCTGTGGTTAAAACTGGCCTCCCCAGGCTGCTGTGCTGGACCTGGCCCCATGCTCCAGGAATTCCAGCTATTATTTATACGCGCGTCTAAATTTATCACGCACGACTTTGTGTACACAGAGAGCTCCTCTGCCTTTGCTGTGCCGCCGGGGTAACGCGGCTTTGCTCAGCCCAAGGTGGGCTCATCTGCCTCCCATTAGGCTCCAGCATCAGCGGGCCTGGCCTTGCTGGGGCTTGCAGATGGCCTTCTGCCTGCTCCCAGTGCTTCCTGGCCTTTGAAAGGGCCCGCTGGTGCAGCTCCTTGTGTGTGAAGTTATTGGAACCAAGTTTGGCTTCAATTATCAAAGTAAATGATGCCATTGTAAAGCTATGCTCCAAGCAGTGTTCTACAATTAGAGCGTGGAAGCTGTGATTAACATAGTTGTGTTAAAATATACTTTTTTTTTATTCAGGTTTGTGCATGTGTGGGTTTTTTTGCCGTTTTTTAAAAATGTTTTTAAAGCCATGGTTGCCCAGTGATGTTTGTCCCAAGAAAATACTTAATGAGATTCAGTGCTGCCTCCAACTGCTCCTTGTACAGTTATTCTCTCTCTGTATAAGTCTGGTTTGACCTGCCCAAGTGCTTTTATTTCTAAAAGCAACCTGACAATAAAATAAAAAACCACACCCCCCACACTCTCATTTTGCACCCTCATAACAGGGGCTATGACCAGGAGCCCCTCTGAAATTTTCATGGCATTATAATACCTCTGATATGGCCATTGCCTAACATAGCAGAGAGAGAGAGAGTTACATGCTGTGTGTCATTGCATCAAGACAAGAATAGGCTGAGAAACATCAGACATTCTCCTTGAAGCTCCAGAGCAACTGCTACCTGACAGCTGAAAACACTTTGCATATTGAGTTTGGAGCTGGGCTGTGTTTGTGTGTGCAGCATCTGTGGCAGGGGACCACCACTCTCCCTGGAATTTAAAACCCTTGCAGGCAACTTGATGCATCTGGGTGCAATTACTGGAGTAAGGTGGTCAAATTAAAACTGGGAGGAAAAAAAAGTCCAAAAACATTAAATGTAGCAAAACTGCTCCTGCTGGTTTTCTGAAAGGATGGGGAGATTTCACTGATTTTTCTGAAAGGATGGGGAGATTTCTGTGGGGCGATGTTGGATGTGGAGCCGGATGAGGACTTTAAACTGTGTCAGCTTTAGGGGTTATTATTTGTTTCCTTGTCCACGAGGTGTTGGTAGGTGAGTGATGCTGCAGTGCTGCTGGGAGGATGAGTTAGTTCCAGCCACTTTCTCTAATTCTATGTTTGGACACACCTCCCTCTCCTGTGCCATGCCCACAGCGCTGCTGCCTCCGCCCCCAGCTCAGCCTCTGCAGGATGCTCCTGTGAGAACAGCGTGGCAAATCCAGCCCTGGGTGTGACAGGGGTGACAGACACCTCCCAGCAAGGTGCTGGGGCTGTGCTGGGGAGCATCCTGAGCATCCTGAGCCTCCTGGGGCATCCTGAGCCTCGTGGTCCTCAGATGCACTCTCAGACCTGAGATGGTTTCAAACCAAAGAATGGGGAGAGCTGCATCCCTTACACATTGACCCAAAAGCCCACCAGGGCCCTAAGAAGGGTCTCTGGGACTGCTCATCCCCCTGATCCTGAGCAGCAAACTCCATGGCTTTTAGAGGGACTTTGTTGTAGTAGCAGCAGGATAAGTTTGCTTTCACCCACATGTGGAATTAATTTGTCTTTGAAGATTTAACTTCTTTCCTGTGGCATTCCTTACTATCTCGTTTTTTCCCCCTATTTCTTCTTCCCAGATATATATTTTTTAACATCTTGATCTCCCCATCAGAAATGCCTTGGCCTCCTTGGAAAGGAATGCAGCCCTGGCTGGGCTGAATACCTGCCTGCAGCCAGCCCCACACTGCTCATACCAGAGAGGCCCATCTTCCCCACCAGCCTTCCCCCTCCTTTTTTCTACGTTTTTCCCTTTCCCCTTATTTTTTAAAAACTTAAAACTTGCTGAGGCTCCTGCTTTTGGTGCTGGCGGAGGAGGGATGGGGTGATGGGGCGCAGGGATGAGGATGGAGATTGAGAGGGGGCAGAGGGAGGATGTTGCTGTCACTTCAACCCAGCTGGTCCCTCCAGCCCCAGGGGGGCAGGGAGATGGAAAGGCCATTAAAAAAAACCTGCCGAGCCTGCTGGCACATTCCTTAGGCCCCCAAGTCGTGGGTAAGTGGCCCTAATTATTAAAATCAGCAGTCCTTATCAGATGACAAGGCCTTTTGCTTTGATATACAAAGGCAGAAGCTTAACAACCCCATCTTGCCCTGGAAGAGGAACAAAATGTGCACCTTAACATGCAGCTTCCAAACCTCCCTGCATAATCCCCTTATCACCTGCCAGGATGTGTATATTGATCCTGGCTAGGGTGGTGGAGGCAGGGGATGCCCGGGGGGCTCCCATGCAGTGACCCTGCCTTGGTGACCTGGCCCTGCTCCATCACAGCCTCTGTCACTGCCTGTGAATCCTTCACAGAGCTGCTCCTGAGTGCTCAGCTCAAACACCCAGGCTGGGCTTCGGGTTTGCTTTTGTGGGTGAGGAGGTGTCGGGGTCAGTAACTCACGTGCCCGTTAATACAATGTGCTGGCCTCTCCTCACATGTGCTGGCCTCTCCTCACATCTTCCATCCATCCTGCTCTTTCCCACCCAACTCTGTGCCATAAAACAGTAGTGGGTTCTCCTAAAAGCTGTGCCTTTTTGGTGTGTGTTTTTACAGTGCCTGTGTTTTTACAGTGCATCTGTCTTTGTGAGGCCAGGCCTGGGACAGGAGATCTCAGCCCTGCCCTGTGCCTCTGACACGTGGGGGTCTGTAGTTCCAGGCAGTTCGCCTGGTTCAGAGACACCAAAAATTTCTGTTTCCAAAGGGATCCTAACCCTTGTGTTCAGAGTAGAAGTAAGCATTGCTGGCTGGTTCCTTGTGCCTTTCAGTGGGACTCGAGCTGTGAACTTCTTGGACTTTTCCCTGCTGGTGCCAACAGCAGAACTCCTGCTGACCTCAGCAGTGCGGTATCAAGCCTCAAGGACTGAGTTTTCAGGGTATCAAAGGAAGCTTTGGGATTTTCCAGAGCACTTTAGAAGATGCTAAAAGTGTTTAAGGTTGTGCTTTGGGTGTGTTTAGACTCAGCATCCTGGTTTAGGCAGTGTGCTGGCTGGGTCTGAGCAGCGCGTGGTTGGTTGGCTCTGCAGAGGTTCAGTCTGGTTCCACCACAAGGATGGCGCTGCCCCCGAGCCCAGGGCTGTGTGGTAACTGTGTTCCTGTCCTGCCCGTGCCAGGTCCTTCAAGAGGAACGACCCTGTTAACCCTTATCACGTGAACTCGGGCTATGTCTTCGCGCCGGCCACCAGCGCCAACGACAGCGAAATCTCCAGCGATGCCCTGACGGACGACTCCATGTCAATGACGGACAGCAGCGTGTGAGTACCTGCTGCTGCTGCCCTCACTGGGCATGGGACAGCTGTGAATCAGCTCTGTGGGGCTTGGGGGAGCGATGGGCATCGCCCAAAGGAGTGTGTGCCCCAACCAGGGCATGGCAGCCTCCCTCTCTCTCCCCCTCGCGCCGTCGCCGCAGGTATGGGATACAGGGAAATAACGAATCCCTCTCTTGCCATTTTGCAACTGCAGCTGAGCAAACGTGTTCTGCCCTGCCTCATGGTGCTGCCTGACTAACCCAAGGAGTGAATGAATCTCCCTGAGCCTTTGTCTTAAGGCCAGGCTTCCTTAACTAGTTATCAGTCATCAAAGAGGAGATTACTTCCTGTAGGAAGTACTTTCTGTAATTAACGTTCGTCATTAGTGTCAGAATGTACATTAATAGGGCCAGTGACCTGAAGGGGCAAATAGCTGCTCATCTAGTGTGGCTGGGGCAGTCTTCAAAGAGCCATTTGGAAGGAGCTGCCTGCATCAGGTGTGGGTGTTTCAGGAGCATACAGGCATGGGAGATGATGCTGTGGCTGAGCTCAGGAATTGCAGGCTCTGTTTTCTCCTGGCTGCTGAGAAGCAGGGTTTGACTGTCAGTTTGCTTTCCCCAGCAGGACAGAAATGGTGCTTTTGTTTCTCTGGAAGGGACAGTGAGGCTCACTTGGTGCTCCTAAGGACCATTTTCTTTAGCTTAGCAGAAGGCACATGTTGCTGTTTGTGATTCATGGTGTTCACTTCAGTGCTCTAGAAGTGCCCACCTGTAAACAGAGTGCTGCATTGCTGGTTTTTCATCTTGAAACTTCCCCAGTGTCTCTGTCAGACATGTCCAGTGGTCCCTGTGTGCTCCTCAGAGAGATTTTCATGCTGGGTTTTTGAAGTCAACATGCGTGAAGATGCACAAGGGAAAACAGGATTTACCAAAAATCCTCGATGCATAAACAAAAAACCCTTTAAAAATTTTTTTTAAAGGCACATGTGTGTTTTGAACTGATATTACGGGAAAAAAATAGTTTGTTGTCCCAGCAGATTCCCTTATTGAACAATATTGGCATTAAATAAAAGAGCTGAATCATAGGGTGACTTCTTTATTTCTTCTTACTGGCTCTGGTTGTATGTGATCATGTGTCAACAGAGCATTCATTGGGTTAGTCATTTCTGGACCAGTGTAGGGTCACTTGGGATTCACAGGGCTAGGATTATACCCTCTCTTCACAGCAATGCCAATTGTAGGCCTTATACAGATGAGAGCACTGAGTGAGAAATAAAGTGCATGGTGGATGAAAGGCTTAACTGAATCGCTTTCAGCCCATTGTTAGTCCAGGGGAGCTTAGCGGGGATGAGAGGGCAGCAGCCCGCTTTGAAATTTGCTTGAACAAGTGAATAGGAGCTCCCCATAAAGCAGCCCTGAAAGGAGCTGCCTGTTTTTTCCTGCTGTAACAATGGCCCTGTGCAGGCTGTGAGAGTTTGGGGAAGCTTGGCTGATTAAACTGCCTGCAGCTCCAGGCTGGGGGGCTGCAGGGAGCCCGGGGGTGGCACAGGGGCACAATTCCTGCCCAGGGGTGGCAGAGAGGCACAGTTCCTGCCCGGGGGTGGCACAGGGGCACAATTCCTGCCTGGGAGTGGAAGAAGGGCAGATTTCCCGGTGACAGAGGGGTAGATTTCCTCCCTGGGGTAACACAGGGGCAGATTTCCTGCCCAGGGTTGCAGAGGGGCAGATTCCTGCCCAGAGTCCAGGGGTGGCAGAGGGGCAGAATTCCTGCCCTGGTGTGGCTGAGGGGCAGATTTCCAGCCCAGGGGTGGCAGAGAGGCAGATTCCAGGTGGCAGAGGGGCAGAATTCCTGCCCAGGGATGGCAGAGGGGCAGATTTCCCTCCTGGGGGTGGCACAAGGACAGTTTCCTGCCCAGGGGTGGCAGAGGGGCAGATTTCCTTCCTGGGGTGGCAGAGGGGCAGATTCCAGGTGGCAGAGGGACAATTTCCTACCCTGACCACTTTCCAGCCCTGGAGCTGGCAGCAGGCACACTGTGCTTTTCTGCAGCTAGGAGAAGAGTTAAACTGGCACTTCTGGAGGCTGGGCCTAAAGTTCAGGCTGGTGTAAAACTTCCTTTGCAGAGGAGGAGGAGGGCTGCTGCCAGCATCTCCAGAGCAGCTGGGATTTTGGGTGCTGGGATTTTGGGTGCTGCTGGCAGCTGGAGGGGCACAGAGCCACCCTGGCTGAGCCCAGGTGCTCAGCCCTGTCAGGTTTTATCCCCCTGGAACAGGAGGCCTTGTTCTGTTCCAGCAGCCTGAATGCAAATTAGTTCTTTTGGCTCATATTGGTATCAACTGAAGAGGAAAAACTTGTTCTGGAAAAGTCTGTCAGACATAGCAGTAAAGTGAGTTTGGAGTTTGTTTTTTTTTTTTTAAATAAATCTAAGTCTGAACTGCGCTGGGATTAGGAGAAATCTCCAAATAATGTGTAATCTGCCTTTTTTATTTTATTCCAGAAGCTAGGGATCATTCTGCCCCTATATATTTTGTAATAGCCACAAAGCATCATGCAAATTTCTATTTCCATTTCTTGATTGGGGGGGGGTGGGAGGAAAGGGGATTTTTTTTTTATTTGCTTATATCTTATTTATGGATTTACTTTGGACACAGGGGAATGCTGCTGAGCAAACTTCAAATATTACCTTATCTTACAAACCAGGCTTTTGATGTTGGCAAGATCAGAGGCTTGTTTCAGAGCCGTTGCCAAATGAAGATGGGAGTGAATGCATATGCGCATGAGTCTGATATTTCAAAGCAGCAGTAAAACTACATTCAGGTTAGGTCAGGCACATCTGAGTCAAAAGGCTAAGATAATTGGCTCAGCTTAAATGGCAGCTGACTGGGTAGAAGACTTCAAACTAGTGTTTCCCCCCCAGAAAAGAGATTGGCTTAGGCCCAGCCTGGTTAGGCTGAAATGTTTATAATTAAACTCTACTGTTTAGTGCCTCAACTCTGGAGCTCTTCAGCTTTTAGTAGCCAAGAGAGTGAGTGCAAGTGTTGGCTGTAGGGGCAGGGGGAGAGGTGGCACCCGGAGAGCTGGGCTGAACCTTTGGCCTGCCCCAAAGCCTCGGGCCAAGTTCAGCCCTTTCATTTCCAAGGTGCTTTGCCCTGCTTGGGGGATCTGCTCAGCATCAGGGCTCCCCCTGTCCCCCTTATCTCTGGCTGGTGGCTCCAGCTCCATCCCTCTGTCCCTCCTGCAGTCAGGGGTCACTTGGTCACCCCTTCAGCCCTGGCCTTGTCTGTTTTCCCCTGTTTTCCAGGAAAGGGTTTAGACATCTCTCAGCACAGTGGCTGCTGAAGTCCCTTCCATTCCGCAGGCTGGCTTTCCCAAGCTGCTCCACAGCCTTCAAATATCATGGAAATACCTCTGGGTTTTTTTCATTCTTTTTTTTTTTAAATTCTGCACGTTGTTACAAGTTGCAGAACTCTTCTGCCAGGGCAGAAGCAGGGAGCTGGAGGTTTGATGTGGGGCTCTCTGCTGTAACCAGAGGAATTTTAGGGGGAAGGAGCAGTTCTTGTATCAACCTCAATGAGGGCAAATCCTAAAGTGAGGAACCCACTCTGTTGGGTCAGTGTTGCTTTTCCTCCTCCTCTTTTATGACTAAACGTCCAATTCCTGCCCCATGGCCTGTCCCAGAACTGTCCCTTTGGGCAGAGATGATCCTTGTGGAGCTGGGAACTTGGGGATACCCCACAAGGAGAGGGGTTGGGGACAGAGCTGTTGGGGACAGCCTGCAGGGCTGGAGGGAGGTGGGGGATGCAGGGGGCTGCAGGACTGCCTGGCTGAATCCTTGTGGTGCACACACAGCCCTTCAGCTGCTTGCCTTCCACTCCCCATCCGGCCTCTTGGCCTTCCATGGACAGAGGACACCTCCTTTCCCACAGAGTGTGTTGATGTTGTTCATCCCATGGCTTCATATACTCATTTTTACTTTTTGAAATGCCTGTTACTGGGCATTCCCCGTGCTGAAGGGCTTCCCTAAGAGACCCTTGTCTCAGGAGGCCCCAGTTAACAAACTCATCTCTGAAGGTGCAGGTGGTTTTGTTTTCACCTTAGTTTTGCTTTTCTCCCATCCTCCACCAAAACTCAGACATGTCATGTGCCCCAAACCCCGTTGCCCCATGGGTTTGTGGAGCAGAAATGCTTCATGGAGCAATGGAAAAGTGCTTGGTGGCCACCAGTGGCTGTGTTGGCTGTTCTGTGCTGGGCTGCTCCTCCAGAAAGCTCCCTGTTGTGCAGTGGGGACATGGGGACAATCAGCTCCTTTCATTTCCCATGTCACATGTGCTCAAAACTGTGTGTAGAGGAGGTGCTCACCTTGTGGCCTCCAGGGCCTCCCAGCATGCTCGTTTTTATTATAAAGATTTTTCCAAGTTTATTAAGATGGGATTGCTCTGATCCTTCATTCCAGGCTTTGCAGCTTAGTCTTGCTCATTAATGGCAACTGAAAGGTTTGGCCAGGATCTTCACAAAGCTCTGCCATCGCCTCCTTTGAGCTTTGAGAGGTGGCATCTGATCGTCCTCCTGCAGGGAAGGTGCCTGTGGGAAGGTGTTGTGCTGTGTGGCCACGGGAGGGGACATGCAGGGACACTTGGGGACACTGTGCCACGCTGGCTCCTCTGGCAGCAGCGTGGGGCCAGCTCTGTCTGCTCCTCCTTGGGCTGGAGTTATTTTCTCCTCTCAGGAGATGAGTCAGGTGTGGGGGCAGGTGGATGAAAGGGACAGCACCAGAGATCAAGGCTCTCCAGGCAGTCTGAGGGAAGTGGTGGAATGAGACATTCAGGATCTCCAGGCGTGCTCTTCCAGCTGGCCCCGCTGGCTGGGGAGGGCCCTTTCATCCTCTCTGGGGTGATTTTTTGTGTGGCTGGGTAAAGATGCCTGGAGTGGGATATGCAGGGGGCTGTTCCCACTGGAGAGCCTGGAGCTCCTGGCCTGGTGTCTCCTTGTGGCTTCCTGGCAGGAGCTGGGGTGGCTGTGGGCAGCAGTGTCCTGTCCATGACCATGTTCATGCCCCGAGGTGTCCTGTGCTGGCCAGCCTGGGGCAGGGGAAATCCTGGTGATCCTGGATCTTAAATGGGACTAGAGGTGGGGAGCAGCCATCCGTCCTCAGCTCTTCTTGTTTCCACTGTGCCAGCAGTTCATGGGGTGTCCCAAAGATTGAGGAGCATTGTGGTCCTAGAGAGCGTAATTGGATGGGGAAAAACTGAAATTAAAGGTCATGAGAGAAACATGGTGTTGGAAGGGCCTTGGAAGTGAAGCTGATGGGATCTTTGGATGTCTGCCCATGTGGAGTTGCCTTCAGCTTTTCAGCTTTTGCTTAATTGCTGCACATCCATGTGCATCCTTTGGTGACACAGGCCCTTCCCACACCGCTGGATATTTGAGGCTTTGGTGTCATCCAGAGGGCTCAGCACCTCTGGAACGAGGCCCTGCGGCTGCCTGGGTGGCTCCAGAGGGGATGGAGAGGTGTCTCAGAGCGTGGGGACAGCCCCAGCTGACGTGGCCTCTCTTCCCTGTGCAGAGATGGGATCCCCCCGTACAGGATTGGGAGCAAGAAGCAGCTCCAGCGGGAGATGCACCGCAGCGTCAAGGCCAACGGTCAAGTTTCTCTACCTCATTTTCCGGTGAGTCCAGGAGGGAGCTGCAGGGTCTGGGTGGGCCTTGGGCAGTGCTAGGGCTGGGGACAAACACACATGGAGGGAAGGGAGCAGGGGAGGAGAGCATTTCCACCCCAGGGTGATGCCAGAGGAGAGAGGTGCTGCTGGGTGTTGAGCAGGAGCCATCTCAGCATCATTCCAAACCCTGCTTGTGCATGGTCACATCTTGGTCTTTCCTGAAACCAGCTGCTAATGAGGAATTTCCAGGGGCACTGGACTTGTCGTGTTGGTTCAATCCCAGTGGGCCTAGTGGGAGCCTTGGCTCTGGCTGCCACCCTGACACTCCTGTGGTGCTTGGCCTCGTGTGCGTGGCTGTGAGAGCTGGTGTGTGAGCTGGGGGTGAGCTCTCTCCCAAAAGACAGTGCTGGCAGCAGATCCCTGCCTGGCTTTGAGGGATCTGATGCACGGTGCTGCCCTGCTCTTCAAAATTAACTCGCTGACTTGCTAATTCAGTTGACTCGCAGCCTCTCGATTCCTGCAGTGAATAAACTGTTTACACAGACAAGTGTAAACTTATCTTGTCTTGAGATTAATATGCTAAAATTCCTCTTTCTGCTGTCTTAAGCAGCAAGAAGTCATAGATGATATTTCTGGTGGAAGGTCGGGGGGTGGTTTATGTGGTTTTTCTTTTTGGTATTTTTTTTTCCCCTTCCTTCCTAAAGAAAGTTCTATAGCCTGAGCTTGTAAATTAGATTATTTTGTCCCAGGGCGTGCAAATCGACTTTCTCTGTAAGGCAGTGCTTTGATCAGGGAGTGAATAGAGCCAGCTTGTGTAAGAGTGACAATTTCCAGCAGAGTGGCCTTTTTCTACCCTCACATCATTTCTGGAGCTAAGTGGTTGCCGGAGAGAGGCCCCACCTCATCTGGTGGGTAGTATGTGAAAGAGTTGGCAGTTCAGCTTTCTGCTTTCGGGGGGGAGAAAGAGGGAGAGTGGGGGCGAGGAGTGGGGTGTGTGGGGATGGCAGGAGGGAGGGCAGAGTCAAGTGGGTGGTTTCTTTTTCCTCCTTTTTTTTTTTTTTTTTCCCTTTCCTCCCCTTTTCCTGCCATGTTTGCTTCTTTTGGCAGAAATTCGCGTTTTGCCTTTTTATATTCTGCACTTGATTTGGAGATGTTCCCTTTTTCCCTTGATAGATCTGCTTGAGGCAGCCAAGCTCAGCAGTGTAGCACCGCTAGCCTGCAGCAGCTTTCTTCATTTTCTGTACAAAGAGATGGAGGGGGGGGGAAGAGATCTAGGACACTGTTGAGACAACACTACCTCAAAGGTGCCCAGTGTGTAGCCAGGAAATAAATTACCAGCACTTCTCTGATCTGCAACCGTTTGACTTCTTTTTTTTTTTTTTTTTCCCTCCTTTCCCTTTTTCTCCCCCATCTTATTTTTTTTAATTTCCAACTCCTTTCTGTTTATACTCACTTTATTCCTTTAGTTAAAGTCTCTCTCCCTCCCACCTCAGAGGTTTTTTTTTTTTTTTTTTTTTTGATGTTTGACAACAGTCTTTGAAGATTTTCTACTTCAGAGTAGCTACTGATGGGCTGGTTGTACTACAGAGAGAACAAGCGGGGTTCCTCAGAGTGCGACCAACTGCTCCTGCCGAAGGCAAACGCTGGTGGGGAGGATGTCACTCCATGAGGCCACAGCACTAGCTCATAAAAATCCAGAGCAGACCATGCCTAGTTGCGGTCGTCTTTTCATCCAAACATGGAGACACAACAAGCGTGGCGGGGCCGGCGATGCCGCGGCGGCGAAGCGCCCGCGCCCCGCTAAACACATTGCCTTGTGCCTTCTGTCCCCGCTCCTTGTAGAGGACCCACCGGCTTCCCAAGGAGATGACCCCGGTGGAGCCAGCCGCCTTCGCCGCCGAGCTCATTTCCCGGCTGGAGAAGCTGAAGCAGGAGCAGGAAACCATGGACTGTCTGGAGGAGAGGCTGCAGCAGATCAAGGAGGTAGGATTAGCGCTCGCAGAGCTCCGCGTGCCACCCGGCCGGCGGGGCGGTGGGAGGGGGGACATCCTGGGGGGACATCCTGGGGGGACATCCCGGGGGAGCATCCTGGGGGGACATCCCGGGGGGATCATCCCAGGGGGAACATCCCAGGCGGGACATCTGGGGGGACATCCTAGCGCGCGCCCCGCCAGCTCCCGGCCCCTTCCATTCATTCCCTGCCATCCTTGTCTGGCAGGACGAGGAGAAGGAGGGCGCCGAGCTCCCTGCCAGCCTGCAGAGCGGCCGGGACGCCGCCAACCCACAGCACCCGCTGTCGCTCCTGCCCTCGGGCAGCTACGAGGAGGACCCCCAGGCCATCCTGGACGAGCACCTGTCCCGCGTGCTGAAGACCCCCGGGTGCCAATCGCCCGGCGTGGGCCGGCACAGCCCCCGCGCCCGCTCGCCCGACCGGCTGCCCGCGGGCAAGCTGCCGCCGGGCACGGCCTCGCTGGCCGCCTGCGCCCTGCTGGGCAAGGGCTTCATCGCCACCAAGCAGACCACCAAGCATGTCCACCACCACTACATCCACCACCACACCGTGCCCAAGAGCAAGGAGCAGATCGAGGCCGAGGCGGCGCAGCGGGTGCAGTGCTGCTGCCCGGCGGGCGGCGACTACTACTGCTACCCCAAGTGCAAGGGCCACCCCAAAAACACTGACCCCCCTCTCTCCCCGCTGGAGCCCTTCGGGTAAGTCACCAGCATCTCCACGGCACCCACCCCAGGCATCACCCATCGTCCTGCTGTGGTTGATGGGGACGGGGCTGAGTGTCCCTTTTTGCCACCAGCAGGACGGGCACGCTGCTGAAGAGGCCGGGCCGAGGAGGAGGGGACAGCGTGGCCCCTGGGGACGGGGGGCTGCCCGGCCCTGCTGGGGTGCAGCTCCCGGGGGGCGAAGCGGATCGGGCACAGAACGTCTGGCAGTGGATGCTGGAGAGCGAGAGACAAAATAAGCACAAGACCCATAGGTAAATACGCAGCTGTCTGCAGCAATATCGCTCCCGGTAAATATTTATATATTACATGGGCTGTCTATTTTTACAATCGCTAAAAACAAATGAGACTCTTTGCTCCTCCGGTTTAATATAAAAGCTGTTCCGCAGAACCAGAAAAACCACAAAAATGTCATGTTTTTGGCAATAAACCTCCTTTCATGTTATGACAGACTTTTGAGAGGGAGCGAGCAGAATAGGAGCTGCTATTAAAGTCATATTTTCCAGCTTTTCTAACCCGACTTCTTCCCTTCCCCAAGCACACAAAGCACAAAGAAGGCCTACAGCTCCGACTGCGCCAAGGGGGCCCCCGGCCGCCACCACCCCTGGGGGACGGGCAGCCACCCCCGCGGGGCACAGCCCGCCCACCCCTTCGTGCAGGACCCCGCCATGCCCCCGCTGACGCCCCCCAACACCCTGGCCCAGCTGGAGGAAGCGTGCCGCCGCCTGGCCGAGGTCTCCAAGCCGCAGAAGCCACGGTACGGCCAGGGCAGGGACGGTCCCTGTCCCACCATGGGGACAAACAGGGCTGGGGGAGCTTTGCTGAGGGTGGATGGGGATGTGACCTGCCTGTCCAGGCAGAGGGATGGCCATGGGATGTGTGACAGTCGTGGGGATGTGTGACAGCCATGGGGATGTGTGACAGCCATGGGGATGTGTGACAGCCATGGGGACAGCCATAGGGGCATGGGACAGCCATGGGGACAGCCATGGGGGTGTGTGACGGCCATGGGGATGAGGGACGGCCATGGGGATGAGGGACGGCCATGGGGACGTGTGACAGCCATGGGGACGTGTCCTGCCTGCCTGAGAGGGATGACCATGGGGATGTGACAGCCATGGGGACGTGTGACAGCCATGGGGATGTGTAACAGCCATCGGGACAGCCGTGGGGACGTGTGACAGCCATGGGGACGTGTGACAGCCATCGGGACAGCCATGGGGACGTGTGACAGCCATGGGGACGTGTGACAGCCATGGGGACGTGTGACAGCCATGGGGACAGCCATGGGGACGTATGACAGCCATGGGGACTGCCATGGGGACGTGTGACAGCCATGGGATGTGTAACAGCCATGGGGACAGCCATGGGGACATGTGACAGCCTCCTGGCCGAGCCCAGAGGATGAGCCTCTGTTCCAGCCCCACCCTGCACCGGCACAAACAGTTGCAATCCGAGGGTATTACTTCCACTCTTTTGATGGCTGCAATTTGCCCGTTTTTCCTCTGGGACAGGCTCCAGCTACATTCCAAGTGGGGAATTGGACTGGTTATCGTTCATTTGGGTACGGGAGGATAAATTAGCCCACAGCATTTTTAATTCTTCCTTTGATTGTTTACAACATGTGAGGCTTGATACAAAGAGCGAACTTAACGACCCACAGGAGACTTCAATTAGGGAGATTGTATTTCAACAATTTTTTTCTTAAAGTTGTTTTTTCTCTTTTTTTTTTTTCCCCCTCCTTCTTCCCCACTTGATTTTCCCCTCCCCGCTTCAGATGTTCAACCTCAAATCAGCAGAGGGACCGAAACCACTCCGCTGCCATTCAGGGGGGCAGCTCCCCTTTCTGCAATGCAAGCCTAACGACAGAAGAGTGAGTATTGCACGTGCAGAAAAGGGAAATAAATAAATAAATATATATATATCATAATTATATTTTCATTAAATGGATTGCTCTTTGAAAGGAGAGGAAATTCTTATATCTGAAATTTCCCCTTTCAAACATTCTTCTTAAAGAAAGAACAAAACATTTTCAAATCTTGTCTCCGGCTCTTTTTAACTTGCATTCCTGTAAAGTGGACAAAGATTGGATTAGTCTAATTACAGGATGGTTCTTTTAACAAGAAATCTGCTACAGAGAGGTCTAAAATGGCCTAAATAATTAAAGTTTTCTTTCTTACCCTCTTCATCTTAAGCAATGAGTAATGTTTGAAGTCCAGACTGAGCCACCTGACTAGAGCCTTTCATTTTTAATTGGTTGACCTTAAGTCCACCAGCTGTCTTTGCTAGCAGCTTTTTTTCTGAAACCACTCTACAAAGACTTAGAACAAATTAGGAAGACTAAATTACTGCGGACTAACACTTTGTGACCTTTTGACATGCCGAGTGTACATTGCCTCAGAAGCAGTTGTAGATTTGCCTGCATGGTATTCACTGGAGTGTTGCCATTTTGCTGGGTAATATTGTTTTAATTATTCTTTAAGAAGCGTTGCTTGGGTGCAAATGGCAGAATCCAGTTAATTTTATCCTCACTGGGAAAAATAAGATTACCTGGGTGCTTGAGGTGGAGCATCTGGCAGGGGATTTGGTGGTTGCAGGTGGGTTTGGGCATGAGGAGGAAGCTTGGGAGATGTTTTATGTGAGGGCAGATGAAAAAAGCCTTTAAAATCCTGGCGGTGCAGTGCTGGGGCTCTCTGGGGAGCCCAACCTCCATCCCTCAGCTTCCCCTTTGCCATGCCATGGTCCCAGGGGGGAATGGCTTCAAGGTGAAGCAGGGTGGATTTGGGTTGGATATTAGGAAGGAATTGTGGGGATGCCCTGGCACAGGTGCCCAGAGCAGCTGTGGCTGCCCCTGGATCCCTGGAGTGTCCACATCCAGGCTGGACAGGATTTGGAGCAGCCTGGGATTGGAAGGTGTCCCTGCTCATGACAAGGGGTTGAAACTGGTTGATCTTTAAGGTCCTTTCCAACCTGTTCCAAGCCATTCTGTGATTCCCACTGTGGAAATCCAGCAAAGGGCTGTGCAAACACAAATCCCAACCAATTCCCAGACAGTACAGGAATATCTGATTTTCAGGGCATTTCTGACAGCATTCACCAGCTCCACTGCTGGTTGGAGTGAGGTGAAACAGCCTGTTCTCAATGGAAAACCTGAGGGTTTTGCGTGTGTTTTCTGTTTTGCAGTCACAAAGAGCCAAAGAAACTGCCAGTTGTTCACACCTCTCAGTCTGGTGAGCTGGTTGTCACCTATTTTTTTTGCGGAGAAGAAATTCCCTACAGGAGGATGTTAAAGGCCCAGAGCCTGACACTTGGGCACTTTAAAGAACAGCTGAGCAAAAAGGGAAATTACAGGTAAGAATGTGTGATTTGTTTGTTCTTCAGTGGGTTACAGCAAGTCAGAAGAGTTAGCAGATATTTTGCAGGGCTGCTGCAGTGACACTTTGGATTTTCAGAGGCTGTGGATCTTCTTGGTCTATTCCCACTCAAAGCAGGAGCAATGTGGAGATGGAGAGAGGAGCCTTGGCTGTAGGGCCACCTCCTCCCTTCCTCCCCAGCCTTTTCCCAGTTGCATTCCCTGTGCTCCAGCCCTTCTCCAGAAAGCTTCAGTAGCAGGGAAGTTGGATTAGGCACAGAGCAGTGGGATTCAGATCCAAACTGGGGTCAGGGCTCACCTGGGTGCTGGCCTCCTGCTTTGTTTAACTATTTCATTTTTGATTATTTTTTGCAATGCTGTGGCCATCAATGGGGTCAGTGATGGGTGGGATGGTGCTGCTGAGGGACATGGGGATGGCGCTCGCTCCCTTTTCTCTTCATTAGAGGGCAAAAAAACCTCTGCCCTGCAGGGAAAGCTCCACCAGCAATACCCAGTTCCTCCTCAGAAACACCAACAAACCCTGCTGCTCTGGTTCTAGCTCCCACCTCCCAGTTTAACCAGTTTGCTGCTTCCTCTGCTCACTTTGCTGCCTTGGCTCAGTATCTTCACTCTGGCTCTTTTTGGCTGCCCTTTCCCAGTGGGTCTGGGCACCCTTGGGATGCTCTGTTGGCCACTTCTCCTGCAGGGTGAGCAGGACAGGGACATTCCAGCTATTATTTTTTTATTTTGCACTGAATTTGGTGGTGTTTCAGAGAGCTGGGTGTCCTGCCCTGTAACTGGCAGCCTCTGATTTAACCTGCAAATGTTCATTTTGGTTTGGTACAAGGAGTTCCCAGCTTGCTGCCCCATCACTGGCCTCTCTCTAGGTGTGGAAATTCCACCTGTACAAACCAGGGGCTCTTGCACACTAGGGCTGAAATATTCCAGTTCCTCTCCAAACCATCTTTGCAGCCCACCCAGCTGCCATTGGATGGCACCAACCAGCAAGTGCATCCAACCTGGACACCCTGCAGGATAATCCCTGGGCTCCTGGCACCCTAAAGCCTGTCCCACTGTACTCCTCCTCATCTGCAGACCAATTTCCTTGGCCTCACCACTGCTCTGCCACTGCCCAGTGGCTGTGTTGTCCCAATTCCTCCCAAAAGTCCCAACTTTTTAAAATGCTTATTGGTTTTCTGTGACATTTTTCATGTGATGCCCAAGTGCAAGACTAGCCTCCTGAAACCTCTGTGGCCCAAAAGCCCCTCCAGGTGCAATTACTTGTGCCTTGTCGGACTGTAATTACTTTAGAAAATGTTTTTAAGTGACTGACAAGGATGAAACAACGTTTTGCTTAGATCTCACCCCTTTACACCTGGGTAAAGACAATACAGAAATTTATAAAAGGAACTTGGGTACGTGCCCAGTATTTTATCTTGCACAGACACAAGGTGAAACTAATTACACAAATGTGTGTACCTCCAGGGAATCATTTTGATCTAAGCTTTGACTTTTGGCTGGACTTTGAGTGAAACTGCGGGTGACCTTCAGGGGAGAGGTCCGCAGTGCCCGGAGTGGCGTGTGTGTTAGGGGAGGCACTAACTAGGCTGCTTTGGTCACATCTGGCATTGATTTCTTTTTAAGGCACATTTAATAAGCATGTCTTTGAAGCCCTTGCCTTTCATTTAATGCACAAAGACATGCAGAAATGCTCCACTCTCCAAATTCTTTATTGATTGGATCAGTTTGCGAGGCGCGGGTACCTCGGGCTCCCGCGATGCCAGAGCCCCGCCGGGGAAGCACTGCCTTGGCTTTCCAACCATCCCCCCCCAAAAAAACCCCAAAAAATTAAAAAAAAAAAAAAGGAATTAAGCAGTGATTTAATACTGATGGCGTTAACAAAAAACAAACATACACACACAGAAAAAAGTGGGTGGTGCTGGGTAATCTGGGGATGGCAGTGGTTCAAAACAGAGCTGCGAGGCCGGGCCCGCGTGCCTCGATTGGTGCCAGATGTCCCAAAAAATAAAATTAAAAAAAAAAAAGGAGCAAAGCTTGCCACATAAAATATGTTTCAATGGAAAGCCCATTGCTGAGCAAATAAGAGCAGAGTGACTTGTTTGAAGATGTTGTGGGGGTGGATTTTTTTTTTTCTTTCTGCTTTGCCTCCTCCTTTTCTTATTTTTTCCCCGTTTCTCTGCGAAATAAGGTTGTAATTATGTAAAAGGTCATAGCGTGTTTTCTCAAATAAAAATTTTGTAAACACAGCCGGGGTTTGGGCTTGGGGAGGAAGTTCTAGGGAAGAGTGGCTGTTATCTGGACAGGGGAGAGGGAAGGGAAAGTTCTTTGTAACTCATTCAGACTTTCCTTGGGTTTTTTGGGTTTATTTCAAGGCTGCTGTCCTGGAGAGTTGTGGCCTTGACCTGCAGCACGGAAGTTGGTGGGAGCTGGGCCATTGACTTCCCTGAGTGCAGGCTCTGAAGGACTCAAATAATAAGTTTTTTCCTTGCTGAGCCATTAAAGATGCAACATGTGTCAATTCTGCTTGGAATGACTTCACAAAAATACATCCTAACCATACCTGGGCTAATTAGAGGTGGTTTCATCTCATTGACTGAAAAGAGGGATCTTTTATCCCCCCACCAAAATAATTTTAATGTCCCTAAAAATAAAGAGATATTTCAAAAACCCATCATAAAAAAAGTCACTAAATAAAAATGTCTGATTCCAAGGCCCTGCTGTGGCTCTTCCAGTTTTAGTAGTAAAAGTGAGCTTCATTTGATCTCCTTTGCCATCCTGAAGAAAAAAATCATAATTACAAACCCCTTTCTCCCTGACAAACATCTGCCAACCTGAGTTGTCAGGGGAGGAGTTAATTTTATATATATATATCTATTAAAAAATATATATATAATTTTTAAAATATATATAGATTTTTTTTCTTTGCAATCCATCTGCTGGAATATTTTCCATCCCTGGCAATCAGATGGCAAAGCCCTTTTCCAAGGGGCAGCAGGAATCTCCAAGGAGGTGTTGGGCGGCAGACGGACAGACTCCCTAAATGCTACCCCTCTGAATGGAAGCCCTTCATTTGTGCATATGCAATTAAGCAGCCTTAGAAGGAAGAAAGCTCCAAACGGGATAAAAGGAACCTTTAATCAAGAAGCTGAACGGTCTAATTCAGGATAATAGAGGGGTCCTTAGTGTTTGACACGGGAGGGGTGGGGGTGCTTTTTGTCTCGGCAGCGTTGGCTTCATGATCTAACGACCCGGAGCAAAAGAGCAGGAATGCAGGACACTGCTGCTTGACCTCGCTGTGTCACAGCCCAGGGGCTGGACCAGCTCTCCCAGTGCTCCTGAGCCTCGGGAAGCAAGGCAGGAGTTTGTGTCCCTTAGCTTGCCCCCGGTTGTTCCAAGTCCATGGGGGTTTTTTCCTGCGGAGTTTCAGCTCCTGCGTTGCAGGAAGCTGGGGATGGTTTGCTTTTCATCCATCCTTTTAATAACAGTTGCTAATTTTAATGTTGGCCTTCAGCTTTGAAACGAGAAAACACATGAAAGAAAGAAGGTGGGGAGAGAGGGGAACCTTGAGAATGCTTGGCTTTGAAATCCTGTTTATTTATTTTTAAATGAGATATTTGACCAGAAATCACGGCGCTTTCTAATTTTCTTCATGGCTGGGGGTACCACTGCTGGTGTGTGTAATCTGCTCACTGGAGAAGCTGTTGTCACCCCTGAGGAGCATTCACAGCCCTGCTCCTTCCATCCCACCCCATCCCTGCTGCCCCAGGGATGCTTTCAAGCCACCAGACCCGAGCACCCCAGAGGTGTTCCTGGAGGAGCATCCTCAGGAGGGAGAAACTGGAAACTCATCCTTACAAGAGAACAAACAAAGCATCCTTTGCCTTTTAGCCTTTTGATTTATTTGGTTTTTAACCTGTCTTTGAATTCTCTTTGCCACAGATACTACTTCAAAAAGGCCAGTGACGAGTTTGACTGCGGGGCGGTGTTCGAGGAGGTTTGGGAAGATGAAACCATCCTGCCCATGTACGAAGGGAGGATCCTCGGGAAGGTGGAAAGGATTGATTGATGGCATCTCTGCTCCTCAACCTAGGAAAATCTTTGGACACACAACAGTAGTGATGACAAGGCAAGAGGAAGAAAAAAAAAAAATAAAACCACTCTGAAGGAAAAGTTTTGAACCAATGAAGAAGAAAAAAAAAAAAAGTGAAGTCTGTGAAGACTTTGCTGAATTAGCCTTAGAGGAAAAGAATGGCATTTATTATTCATGAGTTGGGTACTGAGATGATAAAAACCCTGGACTATTTATTAGAAACATGACCACTGTTGGCTATTGGAGATGCAGACCGTGTGTGAGAGACTTCCATACATAATATATGATTTCCTGGGGATCTGAAATCTATGGACTAAGAGAAACTGTGTATAGCTTACCTTAACAGTAATCCTTATTGATATTTATTGAACAGTCTGTTTTCCCCTAAGTCCAGTTTTTGGATATGCTGCTTTAACAATGGAGAAGAGAGGGGCTGGGAAGTGGGGTGAGGGGAGGAAGGAGTATTTTATTTTTTTACGTTTTTCCCACTATCTAAAATTTATGAATTTGGAGCACATTCGTGATGGTTTTTTGGTTTTTTATTTGAAAGGGGAGAGGGGAAGGAGTGAGGTCGTGCCCAGTATTTCTCCAAGTGAAGATAAAACTTTCCTAAAGAAATAATATTAATAATAATAGTAATAATAATAATAAAAGCCAAAATAAAAATCCATTCACCTAGAGACCGGTGCATTTTAATCTATGCTGCTCTAATTTGAAATAAAGGTCTTAAACATTAACTCTATTTAGCTGCAATATAACAACAACAGCAACAGGTTATTTTGTCCATGGATTTTGGCGGGGTGAGGATTTTGCCTTGCTGCTCTCAGTGATGCCCAAGGTAGAGCAAAACCCCGAGCCTGGGAGGGCTGTACAAGGAGCCATCCCATTCCCATGTCCATATTTAGCACAGCTCGAGGTTAAAAAGGTTGGAAAAGCCCGTGTGGGTTCCACAGAGCTGAAGGTTTTTAGCTGTTGGGTGTTGGCACTGTTTGTGTTTCACGGCCGTGTTCGGCTCAGTGTGGAGCGTGTGAGTCCGTGTGTGCTGGCGTTTGGTTGGGTTTTTATTTCTGGCTGGGTTTTTCTCTGCCTCCCCTTGAACACCCACAGGAGATGTGGGTGAAGGCTCTGGGAGCTCTGTGGGGTCGGGTTTTTTGGGGCAGAACGAGCCTTTCCCGAGAAAGACCTTGCATTTCAACAGTTGGGTTTTGTGTTGATTAAGTTAATCTGTGCATTCTGTTTGCCATTGCTACTTTGTGTAAGTCTGTATATATTGTAGAAAATGTATGGTGGAAATATTAATACACTATCTCTAGTGTTTTTTAAATTTAATCAGTACAGTACCTGTGCCTGCATGGTGTTACAGACCATGCTTCGCCCTATATTCAGGGTTCAAGCTTTCCCTTGCTTGTTTAAGGGGTTTATGTATAAATATATTTTATGCCTTTTATTACAAGTCCTGTACTCATGACTTTTGCCATGGCATTTTGTTCTACTTATACTGTAAATTATGCATTATAAAGAGTTTCATTTAAAAAAAAAATTACTTGGTACAATAATTATTGTAATTAAGAGATGTAGCCTTTATTAAAATTTTATATTTTTCAAATTAATATTGTCTTGACTTTTTTTTCACCCTTAATACCTTAAAAAAGGGTTTTTTTCTCATCTGTGGTGGTAGCTGGAAAGAGCTGGTGAGCTGGTAAGGGGCAGTTCCTGCTGGGAAGGAGGCAAGGCAAAGGCTGGAGCTGCTCTTCAGTGTGGGGATTAAATAATTTACAAGTCCTTCAGGTTTTTTGTTTTTAGAAGCAAAGGGATTTTTGGATCAATAATTTAATTAGAGATCATAAATCTAACAATACTGAGGAGCAGATGCTTCAGAACGAGATCTGAAGTGGCTCGAAATGGGCAAATGGAGCAATCTATCCACAGGAACACTTTGAACACCTGCAGAT